TGAAAATGTTTGACACATAAAATAATCACAACTTTTTTTTTTACAAGTCAAAAGTATCTATAAAGTTTTTATGTCCAAGCCTAAACTTCACATGGTATATATATGTATATGTGTGTGTATGTATGTATGTATATGCATATCTATCTATAGTTACAACTTATTGTACACGATATTGTGTAAGTAGATTTAATATTAAAATAGCTTCAAGTCTATTATACAGAACAAATATTCCACTACTTTGAAAAATATAGTTATAAACAAAGCACCATATTCTTTGTTCCAGAAAATATGACAGTATACAGATGGTCTTTAGGGCATGTTGTGTACTAAAAGGAGTTTATACTATAAATTAGCACGAAGCCAACTTAGATTTTTTAGTCTTTCAGCAGAAAGATTAAACTTTAGGGACAGCAAAGGTCTATGCACCTAATTTGCATTTTGTGCAACCCTGGTATTTATCCCTTGCTGCTATTACCACATAAATGTAAATCCTTTGAGTTAGAATTGAGTGTGGCTAATCAAACAAGCAGGTGTATTATAACTAGACTGAATAAGCCTAACCTTTTTTTTCTTCATTTTCACACCAAACCTTTTCTAGGGCTTTCTATATTCTATGGTTACCAGATCAGGTCCTAGTTATTTCCCGATTTCCCTGTCATCTTGTGGGTGGTAGAGGTTAGGTAGGCTAGCCATCTGCTACTCTACCCTCCCCATTGGTTCTCCTTCCTTTAAGAAGCAGGTTTAGTTAAACAGATTGGCGAAGGTCCAGAGGGGGCAGTCTGTGTGACTTTATCCTAGTCAAATTGGTCTGTAGTTCTTTAGAGTGAATAGCAACTTTGTTATTCTCTTTTGCTTCTTCACAATTTACATATCTTTTCTACTGTGCATGGGCATCTGACACTATAAGAGAGGGCAGGAGGCATCTCCTACCCCACACCCCCCACATCTTTATTTTACAAAGAAATAAAAAGTTTGGTTTTTTTGTAAAACAGTAGTTTTTAGTTCTCACAAAGGTGGCATAGGGTAGCATTCTCAAAATAAATCTAAATGTTCAGTTGTTGAAAACTAGTTTTGAACTACTTGTTAAAGATTTTTTAAAAATCATATAGGGTATGGGATTTAGAATCTAACATTAACAGGTGGAATTAACACAAGCACCACAAAGTTAACATTATGGTTGTTTGCCTTATTAATCTTCAAATATGCTACATTCTGCTACCTTTTTAGCCAGGTTTGCACAAATCCTTTCATTGCAGCATATGTCAACAGAAATGTTCTCCCATCTGCTGCTGTATGGCTTGATGTCTGATATTCAGAGACAAGGGCACAGCACAATGCGTACCTCTGTTAGTAGTTACAGGTGTGTTGTGAGGAGCCTAGTGCATTAATCAGACCCTTAATTATGAAAAAGGTGGATCTTTTGTTCTGACCTTGGAGCACGAATTTACCACACACTTTATAAAACTACAGCATCCATCTGCTCCATCTCTTAGAATGTTTGTCTTGACTGATATTGACTTTAAAATGTATCAAAGGAAGTGATTAAAACAGGTTTAAACATTAACTTGAAAGCAGCAGTATAGCTCATTTTGGTTGAGAAGAATAAAGAATTTACCTACCAAGATTAGTAAAAATATTTTTGTATGTCAAAATCACTCTTTAAGGTGTTTTAGTTAAGAATGGAGATATACATTGACTTCTTAGAATTTAGTTAATTATTGTGGCTGGGTAATAGATTTGAGTTTTAGACGTCAATGTTCTGCAAATTGTTACAAGGCAGTTCTGAAGTAGCCTTATAAGAAGGATGAGAGAACATCTTAAAGTTTTTTTTTCTAATTAGTGTCCAGAAGCTGAATGGGAGCTCCTATGGTTTGATTAATGTGTATAATCATAAAATGCCAGATAATGATTCTCAAGTTTGCCTTATTTTTAATCCCTTTTCTTGATCTAATATTTTTAATCCTTTTCCTGACTTTAATGAAGGTTTCACTGAAGCCAGATAGATTAAATGACTTAACTGAGGCCATGCAGCTAATAAGGGGCAGAGACAGAATTTGAACCTGAATTTGGCCTCAGACAGTAGCTGTGTGACCCTGGGCAAGTCACTTAATCCTGTTAACTCAGTTTCCTCATGTGTAAAATGAGCTGGAGAGGAAATGGCAAACCACTCCAATATCTTTGCCAAGAAAACCCCAAATGGAATAACAGAGTAGGACATAACTGAAGGACTAAACAACAATGACAACTATGATTCCAAATCCATTGCTTTTTCCATTGCATTATGCTGTGGTTACACTTTTTTTTGTGTGTGTGTGTGTGTGTGGTTACTCTTTTTAGTGACTTGTGTTATACTAGAAGTCAAAGGATACTCTTTGTACATTAGGGAAAGGTCTGTTAGTTGTGTATCATAAATTTTGATTACATGTATGCGTACAGGTATCACTAATAGTAGTTATATCTTCAGATATGAAGAATTAAAATCTTAATATGCTATAGTGTAATCAATGAACTCTACTCTCAAACATTTTAAAATGTTGATTATCTATACCACTTAGTTAAATTGAAGAGGAAGAATTCTTTAACTGTAAAAGATTTTTCAGTCATTGAATAGCTGAAGAAAAAAAGTATCTTCTTTACATTCTTTAATCACCATTTTAGAAGTTGAAGAGCACTAGAGTTGGGAAACAATATGTTTCTGTAACCAAAACAAAGTTGGAACATTATATCCCTTGTATTTTTTACTTTCCACTGGAATCTTTGAAATGTCTGATTAGAACTGGAAAGGACCTTAGAAGCCCACTATCTATCCCACTCCACCTATTCCCCACCTCTAAGAAAGACACACTTTTTACAGGTGAGGAAACTGAAGTTTAGAGTAAGTGCAACAAACATTAACTAAGCACCTACTATGTTCCAGACACTATTTTAGGGCTTTAGAAAGTGAAAAGCAAAAATGGAATAGACCCTGTCTAGGGTCTAGAGGATACATTTTATCAGTAGAAGTAACGTACACATATCTAAGTACATACAGGGTAAATATGACATAAACATTAAATATCAGCAGCTGAAAGGCCTCATGTAGGAAGGAAGTGGTGTTTGATCTGAGCATTGAAAGAGAGCAGGGATTCTAAGAGGAAAAGTTAAAGAAAACATGGATTCTAGGCCTGGGGGCATAGCCAGTGCAAAGGAACAGTGACAGAGATGGAATGTTCTGTTTGAGGAAGAGCAAAAAGGCAGCTATGGCTGGATTGTAGCTTGCATGGAGGGGAATATTGTATAACAGGGCTGGAAAGGGAGGGTGGAACGAGGGTATGAAGAGCATTACATGCCAAACAAAGGAGTTCATATGTGATCCTTGAGCTAATAGTGAATCACTGGATTGTTTTGAATAGGGCAAAGACATGGCTAAACTTGTGGAATATCACTTTGGCAGTTGTATTGGATTATAGAGGAGAGAAATGAATTAGGGAGACTAATTAGGAGGCTGTTTCAGTAGTCTAGGTGAGAGGTGATGAGGGCCTGAACCAGAGTGTGACTAGAGAGAAGGAGATAGATGTGAGAGATCTTGTGGAAGTAGAGTTAACAAGCATGAAAGTCTATGTGGAATGAGGAAAAGCAGTCAAGGATGACTCTGAAGGTGCAAACCTGGATGACTGGAAGGATGCTGATACCTTTGACAAAAGTGGGGAAGTTTGGAAGGAGAGTAAGTTTGAAGGGAAGATAATTCTATTTATGGCATTTTGAGTTTGAGGTGCTTACCTAAAATCCACTTTGAAATGTCCAGTAGATAGTTGATCATATGGGACTAGAGATGTGTTGGGAGAAGTGTTAGAAATGTGAATCTAGAAGATATCTTTGTAGAAATAAGTGGGATACATTGAGGTCATCAAGAGAGTACAGAGAGAGAAAGAAGGCAAAAGGGCACTGGACTGAAGCCTGGGGAACTCGTTCACCTAAGGAGTGGGATATAGATGGTGGTCCATCAAAGGAAACTGAAAAGGAGTAGTCAGACAGATGGAAGTGGAACCAAGAGAGAACAGTGTCTCATAAGAACTAAGGGAGAATATAGTATCCAGGAGAAATGGATGGTTAACAGTGTCAACTGCAGAGAGATTAAGAAGGATGAGGATTATGAAAAGACAATTGGATTTAGCAATGGGAGAGAGCAGTTTCAGTTGAGTAGTGAGGTTGGAAGCCAGATTGCAAAGAGCTGAAAAGTGAATTTGAATCAAGGAAGTTGAAGCACTCAGTATAATAGCATTTTCTTAGAATTTGGCTGTGAAAGAAAGGGGAGATATAGAAGGATATCTGTAGGGGGATGGTAAAATCAAGTGAGGGTTTTTCAAGGATTTGGCAGACTGGTATTGTGTGTTGTCAACTTTTCACATAATACCTACATGACATGGAAAACAGAATCTCCCTGAATTTAAATATGTGCATTTATGAAGACCAGTATTAGTGAGCTTGAGCAAGTCCCTCTTTAGTCTGTTTTCTCATCTCTAAAACAAGCAGGATAATGTTTTTACTAGCCTACCTCTAAGGATGTTGTGAGGACTAAATGACTAAAAATACTTTGGAATCATAAAGTGCTATTAATGTAAATTATTGCTATTATTAGGACTAGCTGAATTACTTGGACAAATCACTTTGATTCTTGGTGCCTCATTTTTTTCCATTTTCAAGATAGATATCGTAATACCTGACTCTAGGAATTAAGTGGGCTAGGTGATCTTCAAAGTCCCTTCTAGCTGTAAAATCTATGATTTATTTATCTCATAAAGATGTCTATAATATATTTATCTCATAGAGAGGTCATGAGCACATATGAGGTAATAATTCTTTCCTCAAGTATATATACTCAGCTCTTAAAGGAAGGCCCTGTGGAAATACAAAGTATAAAGTGCTGTTGCAAATTTTAGAATCTCATTGCTCTTCTGTTTGGAAGTTTTTTTCCTTGTAAAATTGAACATGTAATCTCATGTTTTTTTCTTCTCCCTCAGGATATCTTAAATACTGTTATAAGGCATTGTCCTTCCCGTTTTTTCTTCTTGGGTTTACCTGGCTTTACAATGCTGATAGGAGACTTCATCACTGCTGCATCCAGAGTTCTCAGTACAGACATGTTGGCGGTGAGTATGACAATGCTCAACATCCACGTTCCCAAGAGAGTGTACAATCGCTAACAAGGTTCAGATTTCTCTACTCTTAACAGGTGTTGACTCATTAGTGCAATGTGAAACTAGGCTCTCAGGGTAGATACCATGGCAGCTGATGTGTGAAATTGTAGGATAAGGTGACATACTAGTATTGCAAAGGTGTTTCATCAAAAGGCCAAAGTGTGAGAAATCATATCCTCGCTAGTATTTCAGCACATTTACACACTAAAAAGCAAGTCTTGGGTTTCACAATCTCATTAGCTTTTTATAATAAATGAAAATGGACCTAGATGTTTGTAATAAGCACAGATTTCTAAAGATGCCATTAAGAATTTTTTTTAAAATAGAGTTAAGAGACATATAAAACATTTTGTTTACTTTAAAATGGGAAAATAATGGTTTTTAAAAGGAAGGGTTTTTTTTTAAAATTCATCATTCAGTAGCAATTTGTTAAAGGACACAATATCATCAAAGCACTGAATGAAGGGAATTACAAAGATAATTAAGAGGTGGTCCCTGCCCTCCTTCATATAGATTTTTTCAACTTCTATATAGTGTCTTAGTGTACTAAATCATTATTACTAAAATTATTTCAATACTTTGTTAATGCTGATGATTATAAGCTAAACTATTGTTATTAAATAAAAATTATATATTAAAGCAGGTAGTCATAAATTTTCACTGTAACATATAGTTTATAAGTAACATTTGCTTTTGATCTTTACATTTAGCCAGAATATTATGAGGTAACTAGGAAAAATCAGTCACTCAAACAAGCATTTATTAAGTACTTTCTATGTGCCAGGTACTGTGCTATGTGATAAGGATACAGATAATGAATGGATGCTCATAAAGAGCATAAGATAACCATTTATGCCTATAGTCTCATAATAGAATGATATTTTATGTTTAAACTTATGTCTTGCTCTTTACTCTTTTCATGTTACCTATTCATACCCATCTAAAATGTATTTCTTTCTGTATGCTTTTCCGTATGAATGGTGAGCTTGATTATTAATTGAGGGCTTCTGTTACTATTAACAGGAGAAAGCTAAGCATTTACCTTGTTACACAAAACTAGACCTCTGAATCATTTACAAAAATGTTTATTGAAACATTAATACCTAACAGCTTGAATTTACTTTCACACTTAGTTACTTAAAAAAAAAAAGATTAAAAAAAGGATAAGCATGAGGTGGGGAATGATTTAATTATGAGGTCACAGCTGCAGAATAAGAGAGAAGGATGCCAGCTGCTAAATTGGTATTCCTAAAATACAAATCTAGCCCTGTCATCTCCCTAATCAAAAATCTTCAATGGCACCCAATTGCCTCTAGGATAAAGTACAATATCCTCAGTGTAGCATTCATTTAAAGCTCTTGATAACCTGGCTTCCACCTTTTCTTCTGTACTTATTTAATTTTATTTCCCTTCATGCTGTCTTTGTTTAGGGCAAATTAGTCTGATAGTTCTTCTACATGAAATTGTATCTCTTGCCTCCATGTTCTATGCATGGAATGTTTCACCATTTCTTCCCCAGTTAATCAGTCAGACAACAAGAATTAGTATGTACTTACTGTGAGGTAGCTATTTACTGGGGATTTAAGTACAAAAAAATTAAAAACAATCCCTACTTACAAGGAGTTTACATTCTAATCTCTAACTATTCTTCAGAGTACAACTCATGTGATACTAACGTAAGTCTTTTCCTGATCCCTCCAGTTACTAACACTTTCTTTCTCTGGAAATGACTTTATGTTATTTTGTATTTATTTTTGTTGTGGTTCAGTTGTTTTAATACCATTGAAGTCTTCATCATCCCTTTTTGGAGTTTTCTTGGCAAAGACACTGAAGCAGTTTGCCATTTCCTTCTCCAGCTTGTTTTGCAGGTGAGGAAACTGAGGCAAACAGGGTTAAGTGACTTGCCCAGGATCACACGGCTAAGTAAGTGTCTGAGGCAGGATTTGAACTCTGCTAGCTGTTGGTTTTGCTTATTATTTTCTAGGGCAGTGAATAGTATTGTGTAATTTGTCAGCATGGGTACTCCCCCTACTAATGCAGATTCTATCTCAGAACAACTTAGTAGAAATTTTCCAAGGGCTGCTGTAACCAAAATATTATACTACTCTGTGGTCAATCTGAAGATTGGCCTTTCCAAACTAAGCTAGGCTGCTCACTGGGCACAGACATATGTTCTGTCACGAGGCCTGTACTTGAAGCCTTTCCTACTTGAGTTATGGCATTGGGATTACTTCATTGGCATGGCCTTTGAGAACACAGGGTAGCTTCATACCAGTATGAGGCACTGGGAAAAATTTTTTTTCACTCTTCCTCACCCTTCTATATCCAATCAATTGCAAAGTTTCATCATTTCTACCTCCAGAATATCTCTTATGTCCATGTCCTTACAGTACAGGACCTGATTGCCTTTTGCACTAGCTCCACAATTGGTCTTCCTTGCCTTCCTTACTTTCCTCCCTCTTTAGAGAAGGCATTAAAGTTCAAAACAAATTCCATTTTCTCTATGAAACCTTTACTGATCCCATGGGGTGTGTGTGTGTGTGTGTGTGTGTGTGTGTGTGTTTTTAATTGCAAACTACTAATTTGCTTTTTTTTTTAAACAGGCATACCGAGATATAAATTTCCCACTTTTCTTTCCCATCTAGCACTTATCTCTTGAAGATATTTTGCTGTCAATGTAAAAATTGTGTTTAAAATTTCGGGCTTTCTGATTTTATTTGTAAAATTTTCTGCCAAACAATAATTATTTTTTGTTAAAATTCAAGGTGCATGTTAGTAACAAATAAATTCCTTACTGTACTGACTTCATTCTCTCCTTACAGCTGTCAAATCTAGTGGGTTTTTTTTAGTATGCTATTTATTTATAACTTCTTATTTATGTTTTTGTTTGATTTGTTATGTTGTTAGTAAGGCAATGATACAGTCCCCTTTACAGTTTTCCATTACAGTTTTCCTTTGTAATCCTTTTTTGCAATTCAGTTACTTTTTACTTTGAAAATATAGTAATACTGTTGGAGCATACATAATTAATATTATTTTTAATTGACAAAGGTACTTTTAAGCATAATATAGTCATAATATTTATATCTATTAATCTATTATAATGTGAATTCGGTTTGGTCCAGCATCATGATTAGATTCTCAATTCCCTAGATTCTTCCTAATGCTTTAACATAGTAAATTTTAATCCATCTTCTTATTTTGAATATGCATATATAATTCAGTCTTAGGTGTATTTCCTTTAGTCAATATATTATTGTTTTGCGCTTTCTAATCCATTCCGTAGCCCTTTTTTTTTAAAAGGGGAATTCAATCAGGTTCAAGTTAATATATATTTCCTGTCCTAAATAGGAGTGCCATACTCTGGAATTAATCACTTTTCCCTTTCCACCCCCAATTTATTAGAAATTATTAAGCATGTATAAGGCACTGCACTAGGCACAAAGAAACACGAGAAAAATAAAGCAGGCTCTGCCCTCAAGGGGTTATATTCTACTGGGAGTATTTCTTTCAAATTGAGACTATTAAGTTTTAAACTCTTTGTTAAGGTACGAATCTGCTTCCAATGTGGAGAATGTACTGTCCCAAGCTTTGGGGGTTTGTACAGCTGTTTTCAGAGATACTTGTAGGGACCTGTAAATTTTCAATTCTTCCAAGGTGGTATGATAAGGGGCGAGGTGTTTACTCCTTTCCTGGCCTGTGATTACAAGTACTCCTTTCTGTCCTGTAACTGTGAGGAGGGGTTCCTCTCCACAGCCACTACAAGCTCTACCACGCCAGCGTTCCTCCTCACCCCAGCACCACTGCCCAGAACTGTGACCCAGATCCAAACACAGGCAAAGCAAGAGATTCCTGCCTCAGCACTTGCAAAGAGATCCCTGCAATCCCTCTCTGATCAGCCACTGGATTCCCCCTCAGTCTGTGGGCCGGAAGCTCGGGAAGCCGCTGCCCCCCACCCAGGGCCACGCTCTTGGGGAATGGAGCTGAAACCCCACCTTCCTTTCTCAGGCACCGATAGAAACAGACTTTTCCCACTGACCTTCTAAGTTGTCTTTGGCATTCGTGCATTGAGGAGTCCGGAAACCTCCACAGCTGCCCGAGATTGAGTCCTCTGAGGCCTGCTCGCCCATGCTGCGCTGCGCTCCCAGCCCGGCGGGGTATACCTTTCTGATCAACCATCCAGGTTGTCTTGAGCTGGAAATTTGTTTCACTCTGTCTTTTTGTGGGTTCTGCTGCTTCAGAATTTGTTTAGAGCCATTTTTTATGAGTATTTGGAGGGGTTTGGAGGAGAGCTCAAGCAAGTCACTGCTTTCACTCCACCATCTTGGCTCCGCCCCCCAAATTGAGACTATTAATAATAAAAAAAATTCAACTCTATTCTACTAATGTTTGAAAAATCTTCTTTGAATCATTCTCTTGGTGGTATTTTTTTTCATTTACTTCTCTAACATGAGTGTAGTAAACATATCTTAACATCAAAATTTCAACGTTATAAAGAAAGGCAGAGAAGAGGATTGTATACTGGGCTAAACTTTAGTTGCATACATTTTTCTGCTAACAGCTTTTTTTATTGCATTATAAGTTTAAGGTGATAGACCAAGTATTGCCTGCTTTCCTGTGTTCCTTTTTCATTTATTTATATTCTGATGATTCATGCTTTTTTCTCTTTTTTAGTATATTGTTTCTGTCCTCTTTACCCTCACTCCAGCACTTCTCTTTTAATAAATAAGCATAGTCATTCAAAACCAATCTGTCTTCATGCCATCCCTCTGCATAAGATATCTCCCTCCCTTTTCCTCATATTCTCACTCTCCCACTTCCCACCCTACTTTCCCCAGCCCCACTTTCTAACTTTACCTCTGAAGATAGCAATCAAATCACCATTACCATTCTTCTAAAGGACACGTCAATTATTTTTCCTATTAATGATCATCTTTCAGTCTTTCTTACCC